TAAACCTAAACCATTTAAGGTACTGCAAAGTGATATGTGCAAACATCCATTGATAATACATTTGAAAAGGATACAGACAAACAAAAACATCCATCACAACTTCAAAGTGTGAGCTATGTGTGTTTGTGGAGCATTTGTGTCCATCTAGAGTGTGGGTACATGATTCTGTAGTGTTTTTTAATAGATAACAGTTTTACTGCATTGAATATCTCATCTCTGTTTTCATATCTATAATAAGAAACCTCCTGTGTGGTTCTGAATATGATATCATGAGGCACAGGGAGGACATAAAACATGACGTTATACTGATAACCTTGGACAAGGAGCTCTGAGCCACTGCAGCAGCAAATCACACCACAAGGACTACAACAGATTTGTGTCCCTTTAAACTGTATAATGATTTTGATTGTTTACCGAGAGGTATAATATGGTGGTGCACACAGTGATTCTGCTCAAAATTAACTCTTGGAAGACAGCTAAGATTCTGCTGTCATCTGTCTATCTTACATCTTTATTCTACAAATCTAGGACACAGGTTTCCAAAGTGGGGGCGGGGACACACCAGGAGATCGCAGGGCACTAAGCAAGATTACAAGATGATTTAAAGATTCATTTTACCAATAGTAAATTAATTTAATTTAAAATTGTATTTTTTTATTAGGTCATTTAACATAATCAACTATACTCAAATAATTGTACTGGAACAATTTTTTATGCTATAAATTATATTTTGTGTACAGTTTGCTGTGGAAGTAGTTTTGTTGTGTCTCAAGTTGTTCGCATGCTATAGGGCAGTGTGGTGTGCGAGCTCTTTCCGGTATTACATAGACAGCTCTTCAGTATGTGGGCTTGCCTAATTTTTGTTAATTTTATCCACTTTTTTGTCCTCCTTTTGGATAATTTCTTATTTGGAGCTACAATAGAAATACAAAATAGAAAAGCACTTTTAGACCTGGTTTAGCTTTAGATTAGACCTGGAGTAGTAATACTCATTTTAGATCTGTTGGTACTCAGAAAGATAAATTGTTTCTTTTGTGGTACGTGGTGTGAAAAGTTTGGCAGCCACTTATAGGGAGTAATTGAAGCAGCACAGATCTCTCTATCTCCTAACCCTCAGAGCACCAAACGCCTGTCTGGATGACGGGCGCTTGTTGACCTATTTCATGACTGTCACAGAAAACAGGAAGAAGATATCACACTTTTTTCTATGACAGACTCTGCACTTCCACTGGACACAAAAGTGCATGTTTCCTGTATCAGTTGATGACAGTTCCATTTTGCGTGTGTTTTGAGGATAGTGCGTCATTACAGGTTTTAAACAGTCATCGGATTCTGTCCCATTGACCTTTAAGTGCATTCTCTCACCTCCAGGCTGACCACAGAGACTGGGGCTTTTGTTGGACCCTCGCCAGACTCAAACTGTAGTCTGAAACACTCTCATTAAGCAGAAGGAGCACTGTGCATTACTGTGATCAGGCAGCCAAATGTAGAAGGTTTGCATCCTGGAAGTTTCTTTTAGCTAATTAGTTAATGGAAATGCCACATTAGTCTTTATTGCTATGCCAAGTAGATGCACAACAGTAGAAAAAATATTTAAATATTGTTTTGAAATAAACGGGTGGAAGTACAACTTGTATAACCAAACTTGTAAGTGCTAAGTGTAATGAATGCTGAAGTGCTTTCTTTGTTAATAGGTCAAAAAGTATTTACAGTTGGACTTAACCATTTAGTCAATTTAATCTAGAGGAAATGCATGCTATGCACGTTAAAACTTTGCTAAATTACTTTACTAAAGCTTTCTAGTTCTTATATTACACACAACTGACTCAAAAAAAGCCATGTTATAATGTTGCCACCTGCACAAAAACATACCTGGAGTTGTGTTTTGTTTCATTCACACATGTTGTAGCATGTAACATGAGTAGCACTTTATTATTAGTCTGTCCACATCCCGAAAGGGCAAAATGCTCTATTCCATCTTGTATGTATGGAAAAATCATGAACATCAAGATGTATGGAAAAATAATGAAGCTGTAGTTTTCAAGTTAACAGCTTCATTTGACCTTTTTTCATTTGAGATTGCCAATTCCAGGGCTGAAATCATCTAAATGATTCTAGTGAAGGTGTCTGGAGTTTAAAAACACAGTGGAGGGCTTCATGTATTACCACATGACATCACAAGGCGGAACAGAGCGTTTTCTGTTTGAGAGAAAAACTTGTCTCAAACATGCAGGATTTGTGTGTTAAACATGTGTGAATGAAACAATCAACAACAATGATGAGGAAATATAACAAACATAGATTAGAAAGTAGTGTAATATTACTACAATATAATTTCCTCATAGAGCACACAATAATAATGCCAAAGTCCCCATTGTTTAAAGTTAGTCTGACATTATTTGCTTTTAACTGTCACTAACAGCTTCTCTTCTGTAGCTGTGGATTTATTCCCTACCTTAGTGCTCCTCAGGGAGAGTTTAACTGCCCATTCTTCTCCTTTTACAAAGATTTAGTGCTTCTTAGACACAGCCGTAAATGCTGCTGCACCTGAGGGGGACTATGAGTATCACACTAAATAAAATCTGAATGTGTTCACAGCTGGAAACCTTTCATTATAATTACATTGTCATTTTTATTACAGGCTTTGTGTAAGATATCTGGTGTTGTAAGACCCAACCCAAGATGTATGGAAAAATTATAATATTGCAATTGTTGTTTTGGACATAGATATGCAAAATTAGACTAAGAACAGACAACTGATGTAGTCTTCCAAGCAAGTAAGGATGGGACAAAATCTCATGCCACAAGTTCTTGTGAGGCAGAATTGTAGCAAGATTGTGCACATATGAGGAAAATGATCTCCTGAAATTTTCTTTCCATGTGTTTACATTTGGAGTGGACCAATTGAAAGTTAAATGCTAGTGAATTACACCTTCTCAAGAACTGAGTGCTGTAATTACAACAATAGTATTAAATAGAATAAATAAAAATTAGGCCAGAATTGTAAACTGGATTGGACAATGTATTTATTACAAATCCTTCAGAATCTTGCCTTAAATATAAAGTTATATTTCTGCACTTTTTTTTTTTTTATGTCCCCATTTTGTGCGATACTTGAACCTCAATAAAGACATTTACAGACACATTTTAGCACATTCTTGATGCATTGTAAAAGTATGTTTTGAATGTTGTTATCAAGTTAATGAAAAGTATATCATGATATCCATGTGTCCATGAGTCTGTTCTGTGCCTCTATTTTGGGGCAGTCCACAGTTTGTCTTTACGCCCTGTGCTGTCGTTTGGCATTGGTACCAGTGTCATTTGTGCGTGCTTTAGGCAGCTGTGGTGAAGTCATGGTTTAGAGGTGGGAGATCTAAAGATGAGTGACTTCATGTGTTCCATCTGGCTTCTATTGACTGAGCAGAAGGACAAGGAATATGAAGGAACAGCTAATGGAAGTGCTCCCAAAGTCCCACTGCTGGCATCAGTCAACTTTAAGGAAATGGACTGATCCTAAACACATCTCCACTCTCTTACAATGACATATTGTCCTCACGTTTATGGTGGTCGAAGGAGCTTATAGTTCATCCGAAAAAGCTACAGACCAGTATGTCACACAGCAGCATTGCTTCATACGGCGAATACTAAATATACATTTATAGCACAAAGCACTGATTTCATATTAACATCTTCCATGTGATGGAGCATCATTTAGTTGTGCATGCTGTTCTCATTCTGTCACTCACAAATTCATTTTGTATGAAGTGCAGACGTGATAGTTGATGTCATTAATCTAGTCCAGTGGTACAAATGCTTTTAATCCCCATAACAGTTTTATACTTAACATTTGTCATTTTTAAGGAAAAATACTCTTTTTGATAGAAAATGCTGCCTTATTTTGTCTGCTGGGCTCCTCTTCACTCAGAGCCTTTTTAGATCGTGCAGCTGCACACTGAAGTAATCTTAAACGTCTTTGTACCAGAGACGGAGCCTCAGCTCCTGGTGGTTTGGGTTCAACAGGGTCTGCTGTCAGGGGACGCTGCTTAAAGCACCCACAGGGAGAGGGGCTCTGCATAAGCTATTTGACTGTATTGTGGTCTACTCTGCCCTTACTGTTACTCTCTGAACATTTGATGATACACATCACTTTACTTGTTTTGTCTTTAAAGGGGACATATTATAGAAAGTCTAGTTTTATGACCTGTCACAATACTGTACTGTTCCATCAGTTTACTCAGACATGAGTTCTGATTGATCCATGCATGTTCGAGTAATGTTGTCTTGCATTTGAGGCTTGAGTGCCACTAACCTATACCTAAACTTATACCAGGGTTCAAAAATGTCACATGGCCATTTTTCAACATTAAAATCATGTAACTGAAAATCCATTTCTTGCTTTGGTGAAATGCTACTATGAAGAGGCCAGGCTTATCACTTCTGCAGTTTTGAACATAAAGTCAGTGGACCTGTTTCTACAGTTTAACTAAACATCTGCAAAAATCATAATATGTCTTTTTTATGATGTATGATCTTGGATATCACCCTAAAATAAACAATGTTCTCGATGTTGCTAACATCATGCAAGGCTTCATTAGGTTAGGCTTTAGAGGTTCATTCAGAATGGTCTGGAAAAGACTGATTGAAATTGAATGGCCATAGTAGAGAAACACATACAGTGCCAGGCAGATGCTCTGTTGGACAAACAATAAGTGAATGGAGCACAGTGGTGCCCGATAAAAGTGCTGAATAAAGCATAGATCCAAATGTGTCTATTCATTTGGAGGACTCCACACAGCGATTATGGAGCCTATTATGGTGCCATCTGTACGGTAAAACAATTAACTTTCAACAGCTATGAAGTTTACACTCAACAGATCAGCAACAGATCAGCTCATTGTGAGTCAGTGAGCATTCATTCAGTTAACTCTTACTCAAGAGTTTAGAACTGAAAAAGGATTTCTGAACTATAACCTAATTTTGTGGATCAATGTGTTTTGCAGGTTCTCAAACAAAGAGGTCTGGGATCCCAGGCCCTAAAGAGATCTCATCCTCAGTATCTCGGGACCGTGTGTCTAAAGACCAGCCCAGGAGCTCCACCAACAAGAGGATGGTGTCCAGTGCCAGCACGTCCAGCCTGTCCACTCTGGCAAAGCAAACCCGGAACAGCACTAAGTCCCGCGGAGACCCAGAGGGCCCAGATAAAGGACTGTTGGAGAACCAGGTGAAAGAGCTGCTGGCTGAAGCCAAAGCAAAAGATCTGGAGATCAGTAATCTGAGAGCAGAGCTGCAGCGCTGTAAAATCAAAGTGGCCTCCTCCTCCTGCCCCTCCTCTCCCACCTCCCATAACACAGAGCGACAGGAGGCACCTGCCGACAGGGAACAGGAACAGGTGACTGAAGCACTGGTGCTGGTCGCGGAGCTAAGGGAGAAGAACTCCCGATTTCAGAGAGAGCTGGCAGCACTTCGAGAGGAGAACCAGTTACTCAAAGAAAAACTCATATGTTTGGAGAGCTCTGTGTCACCCACAGCAAACTCAAGTAGTCCCACTAAAATCCTGGTGAACGGGCTTCCTTCAGACTCCTCTGTTTCCACTCTGTCCTCTCCCAGCCCAGTCAAAACCTCTCCCTCCTCGGACACGGCTAAAGACTCGCCCTCACCGGACTCCTCAGAGTTTGAGAAGATCCCATCGCGCTCCGAATCCATGAGCAGTGGAGTAAGTACAGATGCAGTCAGTTCAGGGCCCAGCACAGTGCAGCAGGACAGGTCCTTACAAAGCCTCACAGAGCAGATCCACAAGATGGAAGAGAGCCACCACAGCACAGCCGAGGAACTGCAGGCAACTCTGCAGGAGCTGTCGGATCAGCAGCAGATGGTCCAGGAGCTGACAGCGGAGAATGAGCGCCTAAGTGAGGAGAAGAGGCTGCTCCAGACGTCCCTGCAGCAACAGAGAGAGCGCGTAGAGGTCCTGGTGCAGAAGAATGAAGCTCTGGTCCAGGCGCAGAGAGAGGATGGGAGTCAGGGCACACGTTTGTCCGAGCTGGAGCAGAGGTACAAGGAGCTGGTGGAGAGCTCCAGGTTTGAGAGGGAGAAGCTGGTAGATATCCAGCAGCAGCTCACGGGCAGTCTACGCGCTCTGGAGCAGGAGCACCAGGAGGCCCAGGCCCAGGCCTTCTGCCTCAGAGAGGAGCTGGAGCGAGTTCAAGCGCACACGCACCGAGAGCTGCAGGCGGCAGAGCAGGCTGTACAGGTAGCAGAGGAGCACAGAGTTACAGCAGAGGCTCTGAGACTGGACAACAGCAGACTAAAAGCCCAGGTCGACATCGAGAGGCAGAAGGTGACAGAGCTCAAAGCTCTGCAGGGCACCAGTGACAGCAGCGAGCTCCAGAATCTCCTGAAGACAGCCCACTGTGAGCGAGAGCAGTTGGAGCACGAGATGAGTGAGAGGAGACAGCAACTACTGCAGGCCCAGGCAGAGGCTGAGCACGCACAGGCTGCTCTGGCGAAGGTACTACCTGTCTCCTTACTACTCCAGTACTACATACTGTTTTAAAGTATTGTGGGATTTAAAATAGAAACCAATTAAATATAGTTTGTAGGGAAAAGCCTGGTACAGGAATTGGCATTTGGCATTATGTAGTTATATTTAAACCGCGGCCACACTTGGAGCTATGATTTACATGAAGTTGTAGTATTTGTCCGTGAACCAGTCAGTGTGTTCAAACTAAATATGACTGTACTATGAATGGAAATCTAATCAACATTCCAAGTGCAATATCCAAATAAAGGACGTACAATGTTTCGCTAAAGGTGGACATGTCTTAAAGACCATTATAAATGAAATACTGGGGTGTTATCGTGGCACTGCCTACTATAAATACTATTTTAGGCTTTATATGGACACAATATGACTATTATTTTTAGTTCTTAAGTTTGAGAAATTCTTGTGTAATGGCATGTCAAACATTCTCACTGTTTTATTGTGCTTTTCTTGGTGAGCGGCTCAGGTTTGTTTGCCAAAGGTTCCTGTCGTTCATACATTTACCCCAAACCAAGTCGTTTTTGGAAGCACTTCATCATTTGTGTTCATGTCTACTCACTGATGTTAGGAATGGGTAAAATTTACACAAAACACAACAAAAATTTAAGTATTAGGATTCACAGCTTCACGGATGGAATTTAGTATTTTTGTACCACAGAATATGAAGGTTAATAATTACTTTCACATGACATCAGACATGTTTTTCCCCTAAACATGAGGGCACCCTGGTTCGGGTTGGTGGTTTTGCTCTTAAATGGGTGTGTCTCTTTTTAGCTTCCTTATGTCATGATCTCTGGATTGCAGTCGGAATGCCAACAGTTGGGTCATTCACCAATATTTGACCCTCTGACTCACCGTCCACTGCCCACTGTCATGACAGGGGAGTAGCACAGATACCTCAGTGACTCAGAGAGGAAATGAAAGGAACATTGTTTAAATATACAGTTTAGGTAGATATGAGTTCATTTTTATTCATGATGTTTACTAAAGGAATCCAACCATTTATTGTTTGGTCAGAAAGATGAAAAATAAATAGACAATTTGAGTAAGAAGTAATCCTGGATTAACACTGACCTTCATCTCAGAATAATCCATCAATCATAATAATCCAAACCGTATGGACACAAAGCATTCAAAACTGTCACCTCTTTTTAAAATCAGTGAGTCAAAGCATGTGAATTTAAAAGGTTTGCATCATCGCAAGTTATCTTGGTCCTACTGACAAACTTCAAATATGTTATTTCATTTGTTTTTAACCAGTTTAAAATGATCAGTCAACTTTGTTTATAAAATGCTTCATGCAAAAGTATGTAACACAAAGTGCCTTACACCATACAACCCTCAGACAGTCACATGCACGCTCTCACACACATGTACTTGATGTTGGGTATCCATGCTTTTTGCTTTTTGAGGACATTATTAGACCTGAACCATACTTAGCCCTAACCTAACCATATCTTAAATTTAAAAAAAGGTTGATGATTTAATAATAAATGATTTATGTCCTGGAGGCCTGATTTTTGTCCCCATAAAAGAGGCAGGTATAACTGTGAGTTTGTGTATATATTTTGTCCCTATAGTAACAAATACCTGTCCAGGAGTACAAATGAGCCAGTTGAGAGAGCAACTTCATGTCTGTATTAAAAATAATAAAGTAAAAGATAACCTCATCTTGATCTCCTTTTCCATATGTAGGTGGAGTCCAAATGCCAGCAGATTCAGGAGCGGGCGGAGCAGAGGGAGCAGGAGCTCCTGAGCCAAGTGGCTGTTCTGGAGGAGGCTGGGCTCCAGGCGGAGAACCAGGTGAAGGAGCTGAAGGAGACCATCTTTGAGCTGGAGGACCAGGTGGAGCAGCAAAGAGCTGTGGGACTGCACACCAACCAGACTGTGCTGGATATGGAGAGTATGTAGAGAGCCTTTTATATTCTATTGTGCACTATTTGGATTTCTTTTTTTTTTTCTTTTTTTTCATAATTTTAGAAAAAGGTCTGGGGCATGTTAACTCTATGGAAGATATTCAAACTTACGATCCACATAATGTTGAACCTTGACATTGTTTGTCAGGGATTGGCTCCTTGCCATATTAATGTTATGGTTTAAAGTTCTTTCAACTGACAACAATCATGTCTTTAAGGTTGAACAATGACACTACTTTGGAAAGATTTAGGAAAGATTATTTGACTTTAGAGTCTTTACGCTGACAAAGAAGATATTGAATGGTGTGCCAGTTTTTGTTTTATGTGATTAGGCCCAGTAATTACAGAGATATTAGCTATAAACCATGTCAAAACATCTACAATCTTAAGTTAAACAGCAAATTCTGTCACAGGATCCTGACGTGTCCTTCAGCTCAATTATAAAATATGGGCATTCTGCATGTTGTGTCACACGAACACAACTTATTACACTGTGTAACATCAACATGTGTGCTATGCATTATGGGGAAATACATGAGATATATGAATCCTTGTCTGATAATTTACTGCTGTAGAGTCACTCTCAGGATCCTGCACAGTGAATGAGACCTGTGCACTTTCTGACTTATTGCACGATCTATTTTGTATAACTTTATGAATGTTTTAAACCTTGAATATGGTTTCACAGATCTTGTCAAGAAGTTGGAGGAACAAAAGGCTGATTCAGAGCGACAGATGAAGGCTTTATCTCGACAGATCAAGGTGAGAACTGCCATAGTTTTGAGGTAACAAAAACTCAACAGCAGTTAGTATAATTTTGTATTTAACGAGGGGGTATTATGTAAAATTTACTTTTTGGAGTTATACTATAGATGTTATAGTTCCCTCATCAAAAAGGATTGGCTGAAGTGGTTGTATATGTCATTTATGCATGTTTGAAGTCTTTCTTGGAATTCTCCCAGGAACTATTCAAACCCTCCTTACTGTTAGGGGTAGGAGAAACCATATCCTGTACAAGGTTTGGCCTACAAGCCTACATAAATATACTATAGTTTGTCTTTATAAAATCAATACCAAAAGACAATTTTACTTCAGGCCTACTAGATATTACAGGACCTCTATTTCATTTCTTTTATTCATTGTCTACTCTCTGACCATTGTTCCGGCTCCATTGTCTCACAGTGAGGTGAAAGTTTAGATAAGCTCTTCTACACTGTGTGTTCTTTGGCAGTCACTTTCTCCATGACTGCTCCATGGACATCTGAATGCTTATTTGCTTGTTTAAGACACACATTATCAACAGAACCAGACAGTGTTATCACGCAGTCGCCTCATAAACAGTAATTTATCTTACACTGACTTTGGTATGGCATATTTGTTTTTAGTTTAGTATTGACCAATATGGGTTTCTTCATACCTGATACCGATACTCTTTAAGCTTTGCCAATATTTTGGGGGCCTGTAGGCCATGTATGCCAAATTGTATCATATGAAATTACTATTAAATTTATAGATCACCTCTGCTCATTAGACAATTATAATTAATGAAAAAATAAAATCTAATACTGATTTGTAGGTGTCCTCTTTAACTACATATAGTGCAGTGCCTCCTTCTGTTGGATTGAAGCTAATACAGTTAGGTGTTCACAAACAGCTTTCTGTGTGTATTTTGTCAGATGTTTGGCTTCTGCCTAATGTTTAAGGCAGACAGCCAATATTCTAAATATACATTTTTACTATGCAGCTTAAAATTTTCTCTCAAAATATAGGAATGAAACTGTATTAATGGAATTTATGAACATATTCCAAAAAATTTAAGTTCATATATATATATATATATATATATATATATATATATATATATATATATATATATATATATATATATATATATATATTCCTCTGTTTAACAGTAAGAAAACAATGTCAGGAAAATGTTTTGTTCTGAATGCTATTTTGTTTTGCTATATCTTTATTTTACTTTATCATTTGGTCATTTGGAGTTGCATGTCTTTTCACTATTACTACAAAATTGTCCACAATTAACTGACTATGACATATGGCATTAACTGAAATGACTATGACTATTAATCCCATCAGGGTTAATTGAGAGAAGTTCTGTTATCAATAAATGGCACCCAATAAAAGATATTTTCATCTACATTTTCACATAGTATTTAAATTTTAAAGCCTGATATATTCAATTTAAACTATTTTACAACAGCTGCTCCTAAATCCTATTCTTCTGTTTTAGGACGAGAAGGAGGAGTGGCGTCGTTTCCAGGCAGACCTCCAGACTGCGGTGGTCGTGGCCAATGACATTAAAGTTGAGGCCCAACAGGAGCTGAGGGCTCTGAGGCGACAGCTGCAGGAGGAGCAGGAACGTAACACCAAACTCACGGAGGACCTGGAGGCGCTGCGGGGGGTCAGGTACGGCATCATCTTGGAGTTGCCTCTCTGTCTTGTCTCGGTCTTGTTGCACACAACTAGGGTGACTTACTAAAATTCAAAATGGCAATCTGAATTTATTTGTCATTTCAGTATAAAAATGCACAGAAATACTGTACTCAGGTCAGGTTATTAGTGGCATAAAAAGAGTATAATTAGTTAGTAAAATAGTTTATAATATTGTCAACATCACAATCAGTGTAGTACATTAGTTGATCTGCTCGTCCAAATCATTGCAGCACATTAGTGTTAGGTCTACGTGACAGAGTTGATCTGTCTAACGTGAATTTAAGCTCCTAGATAATAACAACAATAACACCACGATTTTTTTTTTTTTTTTTTTTAGCAATTATAACACACAAAGATGGATTAGAAAAGCAGTATGCCCTAGCAATAGGTGCCACACCCAAAAAGTCTTTATGTAAAGGTTCTGAGGTTTTCATCAGATTGAACTGGTTTTATTTTCATACCATCATCAGTGAAAGGGGTTTGGTTGGTGTAGCTATAAACATATATATATAAATCTGTTGCAGTAGCTCCTTCTGTGTATCCCACATTTCAAGCTGCCGCCTGCAATTCTGTCCTTTTCACTGACCACTGCTCTTGTTCCCCTCTTTAACTGTTCACTGTCCGAGTGGTGGCCGACCCTGTGGTGAATGTGATGCAGCACTTTGTATGTGTGATAAAATATGAGTGTACGGGTGTATTTGACTGTTGTCCTTTTCTCGTCAGATGAAATATGGGACTATATGTAGCACACTCTTATTTTTTGAGTTATAATAAAGGAAACCAAACATAATTTATACAGATGTAAATGATCATGGAAGAACCATGAAGCCTAAAAAAAAATTACATAATAGTTGAAGTGTCCCGAGGCTCTGAGTGTGCCTACCCCGTCCCCTGGTCCAGCTGTGGTGCCTCTGTCCCAGATGTCCTATGAATGGCCTGTCCCTGTCCAGTCCAGGTGAGTCCCCTCCTGCCCAGGCTGACCCTGTGTGCTGCTGCTCACTGACTCTATTCTGGCTTTCTGCTTTGACCTTTGACCTCTGCTGTTTGCACTCTCTGGCTGTCTGCACCTGTAGGCCTCCTTTTCCTCCTCTTTGGTTTGCCTTGCCTGGTCTCTCCAAGCTGCTGTCTCAGTAAATGTATCTGGCGCCACCTGCTGTTCTTTAAAAGAATAACCTCTCCTTTTGGTGATACCAGGACGGTGCGTGCACGGCATGACTGGACAAACTCATGCTCTGCATCATCTGCTTCAGATACATTTCCTACTGTGTCCAGTGAGAGTTAGTCAGTTTGACCAATGATGTCTGCATGAAGTAGCAGGAGTAACAGGAGTGCTCTGAGGTCTGCTTAGGAAAATAACATACACATGTTATTTCAGGCATTAGTTTGCTGTGTTTGTTAAAAAGAAATAAATATATGAACCTGCTTCTGTTCACCTGGAGGTGTATACAGTAGCTCATCTACTGCTCTTGTCTTTGCAGGATGAGCACCGGCGCCACTTTTGAAACCAAGACTGCAGTGGAGGGCCATTAGACTCAGCGGGCACTTCCAAAAGGACACTTTTACATTTGCACTTGTTTCTGTCGTGTGCTAAACGTGTGCCATTGAACTTCATTGAACCCCGTCCATTTGGAAACACGTGTTGTTTTACTGAATGTACTTTTCTTTTACATGTAAACATTTTATTGTAAATCTGCTGTTGTGCCTTGGATAAAGGCGTTCACAGCCACCAGATGGAAGTAAAAACAGAAAATGTGACAAGCTATAGTGACTGTAGTGAAACTTTTATCAGATATACCCATGATCATAATATTAATCTATGGGTCCATATAAAACTTTATGAAAAATTAATAATTGGTAAATGTCAAAGTAGTTGTTCACCACTAGATGGCACTCTGGCATAATATTTCACAGGAATCTCATAGGAATCTGATATGCATATATTATATTTTGATAACTGGTCCTGGAGATTCATACATTTAATTAATCTGTTATCAGTGATAAATTAATAATTAGCTTTTTATAAATATTCTGCTCTATTGGTTGTAAATGTTTCATGTAAACATTAGTTTGACCAATGATGTTGGACCTGTGTAAAGACCCGAAGACTGTGGATCAAAGATGAACTCTTCTTAAAATCTAAAAATACAAATATGTAAAATGTGAATCAGCCTTGGAGAGATACTGCTCTGTGTCATTCTGTTGTTTTGTTTAAGACAAAGAGAACGCCTCTACATGATGTACTGTATATTTGTACATACAGTGTACACACATTGGAGTCTGAATTACCTTTTATCATCATTTCAGGTGCTCTGTTGTTGTGTCCTTATTTATAATGTGCTTTTTTATTTGACTTTGTAGAAGAGACAGAATTTCTCAGGCTCCTATAGTAAACTGAAGCCATATTGTTAGACCAGAGTTCACAGGAAGCCTGTGTCTCATGTTTAAAACATGTAACGAATGGTAGAGTGAATGGGATGTTTATTTATTGTCCCTGGAAAGAGTGTGGTCCTCCAGCCTTTTGTGTGGTAATGATATTCATGCTTATGATTGAATAAATGAGTTTACCACTTCAGCTCTGCTTGTGCAGTGTATCTCCAGACAGCTCTCCTCACTAAATGGAATAGAGACATGTGTTAGTTGTCATGTCTTTCTTGTTAAATATTGATAAAGACAAACGTAATCCTCGTCCAATTGCCTGTGGGCCAACAATCGCCAGGAGAATTCTAATGAGGATTCTGCAGCGATTACTTGTTGACCAGCACGTCTCCTCTGACAAAATAACACGTATTCTTCTCTTCAGTCTTGTATCTTGCATTGTGTGTATTGACTTGAGTGTAGCGATAACCTTCTATGTGAGCCTGTCCACATTGTCTCATCTATCCAGCAGGTCCCAGGGCGACGAGGCCGGAGCAGCCGAGTCGGACAACAAGCGTCATTGGTGTGGCATTTCGGTGATGCAGGCCACGCCCACAACTGGCGACCCCAGCCGAGAGCCCCCAGCCGACACTGAGCCCGGAGCTACCGTCAAATCCCTCATTAAGTCCTTTGACACAGTGGGACAAAGTGAGCACAGAAATACTCACAAATGCATGTAGAAACAACATCACAGGGCAAACTGGGAGGGCAACAGCTGGTCAGATGTCCTGCATGGTTATGTGTCACTTCTGTCAATGCTTGTGATGCCTGGCTGAACTCAAACGCGTTAAAACAATAGACATACCTTACACGAGTGGCTGCATGTAGGCAGGCTTTAAACGGTTCATATTATGCTATTTTCTGATCTATGTTATAATGTTGTTCCCTCATCAAAAACATGCCTGAAGCTGTTTTGTTTCATTCACACATGTTTAACACACAAAGCCTGCATCATATTTAGCATATTTAGTTTTCTCATGTCATGTGGCAATACAGGAAGTGCTCCAATGTGTTTTCAAACTTCCTACACCTTCACTAGAATCATTTAGATCATTTCAACCCTGGAATTGCCAATCTACTGAACCAAAGGTAAAAGGTAGCTATTAATTTGACAACTACCACTTCATGACCTCACAAGGTGGGAACAGAGCCTTTTGAGCTTTGGAGATGTAGACAGACTAATAATAAAGGGTTACTCAAACATGTGTGAATGGAGCAAAACAAAACTCCAATTATCTTTATGATGAGGTAACAACATTTTAACATGGCTTGAAGATCTCAAGAGTCAATTTTGTGTAGTATAGGACCTTCAAAATAGAGGTGCACAATATATCGTAATAAAATCAAAATCACAATTTGAGTTAGTATTAGTTAGTTAGTTATCAAATCAGAACGCCTGCAACTATTTAGATAATATAATGTCCCCTCTTTTATAGAAAAAATCTGTACTTTGGACCTCTACAAACATGTTCTGAAATGTATGGGATTTGTATTAGTTTTAGTGTATCAATTTCATATTTAAATATTTTCCCAAATGTTAATGCTGGGGTTGTTTACATTATGTACTCAGAAGGGACAAAATCCTGCTTTTAACATATATTGCCAATCCAATTACATTTGGAATAGATGTTAGAAAAATTACTATTTGATTTTTTTTTTTTTTTTTCCCAAAACCATGCGGCTCTACTTTACAAGAATAAGATATTGTTTCGTATTCAAAGTAAACAAGCAGCCAAAATCCATTAGTTCCCTTGACATTTGATATATGGGTAAATGTCAACTCCACATGCAACCCAGTGTGAGAATAGAAGGATATTTTTGTTTACCATCTTCGACCTCCTTCACTTAACAGCTATAAGAGCATTTAATGGTAGGTTGGGAAATCTTCAAATTAATAATGATTAAAAAGAGCAGCGCCACTATGTATGTATTTATTTAATTATTTATTTATTTATTTTATAGTATAAGGTTTTCACTTCTACTATTTGCCCATAAATATACACTTTTCTAGCTAGGTACTACTAAACAGGTCCAATGTAATAAGCCCTATGTTTGAATTTACAGATTTTTAAGGGTCCTATATTAAACGAAATGGATTCATGTGAGTTTTAAGCCATGTTATAGTGTTGCTACCTCATCAGAAAAATACCTGGAGTTGTTTTATTCACATTGAGTAATCCTCTATTATTAGTCTGTCTACATCTCTAAAGCTCAAATTGCTCTGTTTCACCTTGTGATGTCATGTAGCAGTAGTTTTCAAATTAACAGCTACTGTACCTTTTATCTTTTGTTGAGTTAGGGATAGATAATTCCAGGGTGAATTTATCCAAAAGGTGTACGGAGGTTAACATCACAGTGGTACTTCCTTATTACCACATGGCATCACAAGGTGGAACAAAGCATTTTTCATTTAAGAGATTAACTAAATATGCAGGGTTTGTGTGTTAAACGTATAAAATGAAACAAAACACAACTCCGGGTATGTTTTTAATGAGGAAACATTATAACAAAGACCAAAAAATAGAGTAATAATGAAGGAATAGCCAACATTTAATTTGATATGTGGGTAATTGCTTCAAGTTCCACCTGTTAAAAACATGTAATGGCAATTTTATATAATTCTTATCATATCAAGAATATACAGTAATATACACTTTTGAAATGAAATGGGAAAAAGCAAAAACGTATTCACTCCCACCTCCTTTTACTGCAGCATTTTAAAAATAATCCATTTTATCATACACTCATCTGTTTTACTGATAAGCCACTTTGCTCGATAAACTGAAAATAAATCACTACATTGCTGCGCTATTTAGCTTTTTTAGAGATATTTAGTTCTTACAGTATGATCACTAAAAACAATATCCACTGTTTTTTAGATGGTCCCAGTCACACATTGCAGATGCCCTCATCACAAAGAAGTCCTCTGAGTGCAATCCCTGTCCGCTCTGCTCCTGCCGCTGCCATCTCCCCAATGCAGGTATGAATCTGATCATCCATGACAAAAATCAAAATGAAAAAATCCCAAACTTTGTAAATTCTAATTGTGAATTTCTGTCCTTTTTTAGAGGCATTCATACATAAAACCACTGTCAAAAACCTTGGAAAAGCGGATCAACCTTGGGGAATTTTCTCATCACCATGGTATGTTGTTTTGAGGTAGCATTGTGATAATGGGGATATAAAAGGCCTAAGAAGTAGCACAGTCAAATGATTCAGCTTTTGGACTTGAGTAAGGGGAGCCCTGTCAGCCGAGATCAGGTTACTCAGAAGGAGAAGTTGGTGAACACGCAACAGTGGACTTTTGGCAGTTGCTTTTTTCCCCTTTTTTTGTCATTTCTTGCAGGCCCTGATATGAATCCTAATACTGTTGCTAATTAAAAAGTTAGACATGCACAGCATTTTTCTACTATTGGGCTTTCTTATGTTAATTCAGATGGTTGCTTTGCAATTTTTATATCAATGCATTAGAATCATAATTAAAGTAAATTTTATTTCATTCATTCAGTCAGTTTTGTCAAATTGTCATTAAAACCCAATAAAAATTATTAGATCATTTGAATGGTAAAAAGTATTATATCTGTTGAATATTAAAAAGTTCTCAAACTTTTAACAGTAAGCTGAAACCATGAATATTTGATGCCAGTATCAAAACTATGTTTTGATTAACAACACTCAAACACACACACACTTTTAACTCCATTTGTGTCCCTATTGCAGGAGATAAGCTGTCCGGTTGTGAAGACTTGAAGCCTGGAAGTCTGATGAGAAAAAGCCCCTCTCTGGAATCTGTGATCAAAACCCCGGCCACTCTGAGCAGTCGAGCTTCCTCCTTTAGCTATCACCGTGGCAACAGCAAACTCAGGTGATCCATACCTTCTACTCGTATACCGCCTCTTTAAACTGGGGTATCAGTACATGAAAAATTGATGGATCGGGTATTGGCTCCTAAATGCAGGTTCTGCCGATGGTTGGACATATAAAGACTATTTATTGGTACATACTTGGTCCAAAAAGTCTCATAATGTTTGAGCTTTTAATACAAAGTTGTTCTGTAGTTACATTTTCTCATACAGTAGTTTTTGGTTTTAGTTAAAGGTGCACTATGTAACATTTTGTAATTGCTTGTTTCTATGGATATGTCATTGCTCTGCCTAAAATGTTCCACAGTATGACATTAAATAGCTCTACTTTACATTTATTCACTTACATCTAGTTTTATAGCTCAAAAATACCTAGAAAAATGGGCATTCGGAATATGAGCTGGGTTGCCTCTCCACAGATCTGATCAATAACTTGGCCTGGTTTGGTCTCCATGAAGATAAAAAGGTTCAATATCGTACTGTGAAATATTACAGAAAAAGCAATAACATCTCCATGGAGAAAAGCATTTGACTGACCCTCCACCAGAAAAGTCACACAATGCACCTTTAAAATACAGTCTTATTTTTTTGTCTCTGCATTGGTATCAGTTGATATCGAGTATTGGCAGATTCTTAAAGCCATTGTTTCGAATTGGTATTGGAACTGAAAAAGCTGGATCAGTGCATGCCCAGACCTCACATATGCACTGCTCCTGTTACCTTGTTTGGTATGTTTAGGGCTGATCAAAACTCAGGCCACTCTGAGCAGTTGTACTTCCTCCTCCAACTATCACCGTGGCAACAGCAAACTCAGGTGATCCATACCTTCTGCCCATATACTGCCCTCTTTACATCAATAAGCTAAATGTCACCACACACAGACCATGGCAGACTGTACACAGACTCTGCTCCTGTTACCTTGTTTGGTATGTTTAGGGCTTATGACTCAGTTGTGTTATCTCCACCGATAAAATGCATACCTTTTTCACTCATACAGGACTCTCAAACTTTGCATTAACTAGCAAATATTTCACTAATAAATGGGTCCTTATTCAACAATTATTATTATTAGTAGTATTTACAATCAATATCATATTTTATTTAAAGAATATTAATATGGAAATGGCATTTGCAAATATTAGATAATAGTTGAAGTATAAACAAAGCATATTAGTAAAACCGTGTTAAAATGCACATCAAAAATCTGCTATGATTATCTGATTTCTGGAGTTGCAAAATTATTGAAATGTCATGTAAACAGTTAGGTCTGAAATGCTGTGAAAATTATGCAAAAAATAGTGCGACATAGACAAAAATCTATGAAAAAATGTTAAAGATTGAAAAAAATGTTTTAAAATCCATTGTACTCATTCACTCTAAATCTCTTCATGAATCTTTTTTGTTTGTTTGTTTATGTTTTTGATAATCAGATTTCTTTGGTGCATGTAAACACACACCAAAACTAGATCTACACATGTTTTGGGGATGAGAAAAATCTTTAAACCAAAGAGAGACTCATAAAAATACTAGACATTTCCTTTTTACACTGCATTCCTTGACAACTCTGCTTTTCCCCTTGTTTTCCCTTTTGCCTTGTGTCTGTGCATGTTGTGGGTCCCTGGTGGCAGTGTGGAAAGAAAGGACCCTTTGGCTGCACTGGCGCGGGAGTACGGAGGATCTAAGAGGAACGCGCTACTGAAGTGGTGCCAGAAGAAAACACAAGGCTATCCGGTACACACCACAGCACACTGACCTCTGACCTCTGGGACACTCACCAGACATTTTATAGGCCAATAATTCGTAATACATTATTCATGTTCTTAACAATTGGAACAAACTGTCTCTTGCCCCACATCTGGGAGCATGACTATATTATTCCATTCTAGAGTCTGAAAACCACCAATTCCACTCAGCAGAGGTGGGTAGAATGGCCAAAAATGTACCCAAGTAAGAGAAAAGTAGGTATTAAGTAAGTAATAAGTAAAAAATTCTTTGGGGAAACTATTGCTCAACTAACAGTGTTTGTCTGAACGTAACATCTGATTTATAATTTGAATTCAATGTGATTAGAAGGACAAAGCATCAATAATGAACAAAATCTGCCTTCAAAGGTCATGCTAAAAACAAAGTCATATCTGAAGGAGAACAAAACATAAATGTTTTTTTAATATCATCAACATTAAACTGTTGTTAATTGTAGCTTTATTGTGAGTAAACACAATTTTGACTCAAGTGAGGGTGCTGTTACGATGTGAAATATATAACTCAAGTAGGATTAAATGTATGGAATCAGAATGTACAACTTTATGAAAAATATAACTCTAACTGAGTACTACCCACCTCTGCACATCAGGTGGTTGCCTGCCTGTCCAAACAGATGGGCTGAAAATGCTCAGATGACCTGTAGAGTTATATCTGAAATCTGTCTTGAGGATTTAATGTACTGTGAGCAACACTTAACCTGGCTATGACTTCTGCTCAGGGCCGATGCACCACTAATGAAGTATGAATAAGGAAAATGGACAGAGCACTGACAGTATAGCTGTCAGTTGGTGCAGAGTTGAATTGCCAGATCAATAGTATTTCCACAGTTGAAGGTTACTGAAGCTTACGTCACACCTTTGACTCTTGACGCAGATTCCTGACTGACTGATTGATGAAACATGCACATCCTTTATGATGCAAACAGCTGATCAAATTAGATTCTTCTGCTTCTGATCAACACAAAATCTTTGTCCCCAGGTCAAGTCAGGACCTGGACTTTAAGACATGCTCTAGTTCAGGGGTAAATTCTCAGGTGGGCACCAAAACATTTGTATCTTGCAAAACAAGACATTTGTTGTACCAGAGTTTGACAACTTTGACTTAACAGTACACTGTGCTGGAAGCTGGACGTTTCATTATGTCATTGAACGCCATTCATGATGTAAACGTTGACCAACACGAGCGCGCGTTTGAGTTCATGTTGGGCCACATTACATGGAGCCCAAACAGAGGCAGGATTTACACTGGGACCTGTGATCCTTTCACAAAGGCTTGGACTCACTGTGCTCTTATTTGCATGTTTCAGGAGGAATGCACTAAGTAGATTTGGCTGCTAATGTTTGAGTCTATGGCACAAGCAGTTCTTGACTTTCTCTCTCACCCTTTTTAAGCAGCTTATAATGTTTGTGTGTTTATTTCAGAACAGTCCTGCAAAAACTCAAATGACCACCTGAAACTTCAAACAAACATTACCATGTACCATATAGTTATAATTTTAGTAGGCAAGTTCTATCCTTTTACAATGCTGTTGTATTTCATTTTCATGTCAAACACTGAGTAATACAGTGACTTTCTACAGGCTGCAAATCTCCAGTAAATTTTACAGTAAACACCTGGCAATTTTTTGCCAGGTAATTGCTCTAATATTTCAGCAAATTACTCTAAGTCATATTTACAGGTGGAATCTGGAAACACTTTACACGTTTTTGTTGGGATATTTTTTTGTAAGGCATTGGTTTGAAGTACACAGTAAATAACTTCTCTGCAGTTTAGAGCAAAGCCTTGTATATTAAATTTACATGTATTACCTGCCAATTTTGTTGCCAGTAATGTCCTGTAATTTAAAATACAGCTAGTCTATTTATTGACATAAGAATAGACAAACTCAGTTAAAATTGATTCATGAAAAGGTTCAATATTTTTGTTACTTATTTCAGAAAGTCAAACCCATATATTGTATAGACTCATGACACATGAAGCTTTCAAGCCTTTATTTCTTGACCTTTTGATGATTATGGCTTATGATAATAATAATAGAAACCCCAAATTTTGTGTTTCAGAAAATTAGAATAGTGTTAAAAGGTTCATTATTGGGAAGTCACACCTTAATCAACAAAATCAACTGAAAACCCCTGAAAAGGTTTCCTGAGCCTTTAAACTGTCCGGCTCTCAGTCTGGGTCAGAGGGATACACAATCATGGGGAAGGCTGCTGACTGGACACATGTCCATGTCCAAAAGACAGTCACTGACTCCCTCCACAAGAAGGATAAGACACACAAGGTCTTTAAGAAGCTGGTTGGTTGGTTGGGGTGGGCATCAATATTTAGTTGATAACAATTTAATAACACCAATTTAAAAAAAAACACAAAAAAAAACTACTTACAAATTAGTGTATTCATTTTTACTGACATATTAAATGCATGCATACTGAGCTATTTTGCAGTCAAATTAGAGAAGTCCAGATCTACATGTTTGTATGTGGGCCTATTGGGCTGTATTTGGGCTGCCCTACAAAAATGTAATGCACTTATTACACAAAAAGTACATTCATGAAGAGATGCTAACAATACTAACAGGGGCAGTGCACTGATTAGACAGGTACACTGGTCAGACAGGTGCATTGGTCAGACAGGTCCACTAATAATACAGCCGCCCAGATGTAGATAAACTTATCATAAGAGTTCATTTTGTGTAATATAAGGATTAAACTTTCTTTTAAATAACTTGCATAGTTGCTTGGACAGACAGAGTTATCTCAGACACGATGTTACTCATTCAATTAATTTACTTTCTATTTTCTGTAATCCTAAGAGTGTTTACAATCCTACTGAGTTCCAACCCTCTGAATGTGAAGCAAGCTTGCTGGTTTAGCACCTACAAAACACATAGGCTTACATTTCTTTCATATAAATATACTAAACATAACTGATTCTAGAGCAAACCTCTTTGACTGATTCACATGGTAATTCATAATGTATAACCTATGAATCAGAATACAACTCTACTCCCCACCCCAGGCATTTCTTCACTAGGGAAGAAATAAAGCCCTCTCATTGGTTTTGGATAAGTATCCATAATTATTGAATACTCTTTACGTGGCTCTTCTTATGGCTGACAGATAGTGTTCAGAAACAGGCCAGAGGGAAGAGCTGAGTAACAGTCCACTTATGTAAAGTAACAGACTGATTCAGAACAAACTGGGTTCATTATAGTAGTTTATTTGTAAGAAGGTTTTGGTTATTTATCAGATTTAGTCAGTTGAAGTTTAGAAATGAGTTGAAAGTGGCTTATAGTAAAATATTGTGAATTAATATATTTTGCAAGAATGTAGCAATGGCAAACTGGCCATTATTATATCTGCCTTAAAACTAAATCCCCACACAAATTATTGTGTTTGAATCTGCATATAAAGAGATGTATTTAGCATTTATTCAGTTACAGGTGTTTTTATTGCTCAGAAATGGCCTGGAGTGTGTCACCTGCTTGTCTCCATGAAGATGATTAAGTTTAATGCCACACTGTGAAAAATTCCACAGTAGCAGCAGCAGCAGCACGGAGATGAGGCTCGATAAAGTCGGGCATTTCACTCGCGCGCTCATGTAAACAAGCCTATCGCTCTAAATGTGCACATGTGGCCACTGATAACAGTGCGGTTATACAGGTTTAATAGGCTACGTTTGAAGCCAGAACACAGAAACAAAAATAAGTTACTCTGCAAACTTTATGACAACAGCGAAAAAATAATAAGTATGAAAGTAAGTAAGTATGAAAAAAATAAAAAAGTTACTTACTCTTTTGTGGAGTGAATGGACCAGTGCAGTATTCACAAGAGCTCCTCTGTCTTTGCTCTTCTTAACTGAATGTGTGCAGTGCAGAAACATTTGAAAATACAACATGTAATATCCTCCCATCTACAGTAAAGCACAAACTAATGGTAACTTATAACAGACTGATGTAGAAAAAGTTCTTATTCTCATGTGGATTTTCTGTCCCACAATGCATTGCAATCTACAGTTATGACATGTAATATGTGAAAGCAAGAAGCTGTTGTAAAAAAAATACTGTAAACTAAAACACTTTGTTACAGTGTGTGAGTTGAATCAAATATTTTTTTCTGTTGAGTGTGTTTAACCATCTGCTAAATCCTCTACTATCTGCACTTCTGGGATTTGATTTCCTATTCCCTCAAATTTCTTGGGAGATTTGAGGATACACAGAAATACGTATGAACACATGTTACAGTAAGTCTGGTCCCTGTGCATACACTATATTAAGTTTTTTTTGTTATCATTGGAAGCTGTGGGAAGAGGTTGCTTTCTGTTTTTGCCCTGGAGTGTCTGGTGAAAGGTCATCGCAGTGCACTAATTACAGCCTAATGTCCAATCTGTCTCTTCTGTAAAGACCGATCAGATGCTGAATTCTTCTGTCACACTCTTGTTCTTTTATCTCAAAGGTTAAATACTGTGGACAAGACCGCATGCATTTTGGACTGCAACTTTAAGGTCAAGAAGCCTAATTGCCTCTTTAGTGTGGGCTCCCTTCTTGTAATTTTCCCTTCACATTTATACTGTATAATTGATGGTCACTTTGTTGTAGGCTCCGTTGTTTCTCAAATGGCGGGTGGCGGGTGGCTCTTGTATCATTCTCTTCCACTGCTGTCACAAAAGCAGTCGTGAGAAACCAGGACACAGATGCCTATTAGAGGCTCCATTGTTGTGGTCCAATAGAGGCCTAATTAAAGTGTAAGAGTAAACTGCAGCTAATGCAGACGGCGTGAGACAGCATCTGATCCACAGCAGTAAATTGCACTCTGATGTTCAGGAAATCTGGGTCACTACATTGAGGTGAGGCCTGTTGTAAAACTGGCTCTGTGGCTGGAGCCAACATAAGACTGGAGGTTCTATCCACACTCAGCCTCATGAGTGATTGGTGGTAGTCGATGATGCAGATTGGCTGCCATGCTTCT